ATGTTGATATTTATTTTTTACAATTTCTTTTTATTTAAAAAATCTAATCATTCACAGTATTTTTCAATTTTTAAAACCTTTTAATTAGTAGGCTGTGAAAATGAAGTAAATCTGTCACTTTTTGTGACATTAGAAATTAGTTATTAAAACTCTTTCTAGTTTTGCTCAAGTCGTTCTAAATTTAAGTGATAATAATGGCACATATTTCCCAAAATGAATTAATTGATATGATTTTAATTCTCGGAGAATGCTCTAGAAATCCGTTTTTAGCAAGTCGAGAACGTCGTCCAAGAGAAGAATCAATTAGAAATCTCTTGGGACATGTTATTTTGAAAGATATTTTCAAATAAGCCGAACCTCTATCAGAAGAATAATAAATAAAAATAAATTCCATCCTTATCATATTCAACTTCACCAAGAGCTCAAAGAAACAGATTATCAACACCGGATAAATTTTTGCAATTGGGCAGAAAAAAAATTAAATGAAAATTAATATTTTTTTAAAAAAATTTTGTTTACAGATGAGTGTACCTTTCATCGAAATGGTTATATTAATCGGCACAATTTTCATTATTATTCAGATGAAAACCCTCACTATTTCAGAGTCAATAGTCAGGATAAATGGTCGGTTAATGTTTGGGCAGGCATAATAGACACTTATGTTATTGGTCCTTTCTTTTTTGATGGTGATTTAAATTCAGAAACTTATTTAAATTTTTTAACCATTTATTTGGTCTCCTTGAAGATGTACCACTTGCTCAAATTAGAGATATGTACATTCAATATGATGTGCCCGTGTCCGTGTTGTAAGCGCATGGCTGAACAATACATTTAATGGTAGGTGGATTGCAAGGGATGGACCATTGCGATGGTCAGCTAGATCTCCAGATATTGCTCCAATGGACTTTTTTATGGGGTTATATCAAAGAAAAAGTATATGCGGAACAACCAACCACATCTGAAAACATGAAAAACAGGATTAGAAACGCTTTTGAAGAAATTAACCCAGAAATATTGGATAGAGTTAAAATTTATTTTTCGAAGAATCCAAATTTGTTTAGAACAGGGTGGTGGTAGACATTTTGAACATTTATTAAAATAATTGCTTTTTTTATTTTCATTGTGGTGTTATTTATTTTTTTTAACATAATAAATGTTTTTTAATTGAAATTGCTATTTGTAATTTTTAACGGTCTATTAATTTCAAAGAGATTAGAAAAATTGAAAAATACTGTGAATTATTAGATTTTTTTAAATAAAAAGAAATCTGTAAAAGTTAATATCAACATATTTTTATATCATTAGAAAGGTAATTGAATTCTGCATGTAATGAAATGAAAAAAATTTCGTAGTACCATTTAAAATAATCAAGTTACCATGGAGTGAAATTTTGCAAATTGGCGTAGGGATTACTTTAAACACGAAAAGGTTTTGACTTTGATCGTCTGGCAAATGTTGGTACATTTCATGCTTAGTAATACTGTAGAGTCACGGCCTTCTAAGTTTTATAATAACTGCGATATTCAATTTTTACTAGACATCTACTTTTTGAAAAAATAATGAATTGCTGCTTAACGACTCATTTTAGATATCATGTCTGATACATAAAGTCACACTAAAATTGACAGGAATCCAAATATGCAATAATATACAGGGGGTTGCTATTAAAAAAAAAACATAACTTTGGTATAATCACCCTGTAGAACAATTGGAATTTCATCGAAAATATTTTTAGGTTGTAGCCTTAGAGGTCCTAAAAATGAATTTTAAAAATGTACCTTAATAAACCCGCAATCTTCCACCCACGCCCTAATGGCAACCCTTTATAGAAGTGCCAGGTCCAAAAAGTATTTGGTTGGCTGCTTTCTTGGCCAGTGAATCAGCAAGACGGTTACCTTTCGATGAGGCGTGATCTTTGATCCATCTTGAGGTGATCACATTGTTGACCAAGTCGAGTTATAGCAAATAATATCGAATATAATGTTTGCTGGGTCATTATGCTGTATTTTTGATAATAAATAAATGGATAGTAAACTTTTTATGTAACTTGGCAACAGTGTAAGACGTAAAAGACGCATCTCTGAGCTTTAATTTAAAATAATTTGTGAAATGTTTATTTAAAAAAATAATTGTTATTAATTTGTCCAAGATATGGAACTATGTTTTGAGCGAAAAGAGCTCAAACTAGAAAATGACCAAAAACAATTACACATTATTGAATAAATAGGTATATTACAATAAAAAATTATTTTTTTTATTATTATTTTAGATTATACCTAGAGAAAATATAGGTGAGTGTTTTGGATATGCTTCATTTTTAAATCGACTTTACATAGGGAAATGTTACTAAAAAAATTCATTTCAGCGATAAATAACCCCCCGCACTTTTTATATTGATTTTGGGTGCCATAAGAATTTCTTTTAAGTATGTTATTTTTCAGGTTACTAATGGTATCTAGATTACCGACGCAACGACGGCAGCATGCGCTAGTTCAGTGGCAATTAAAGTGACAGTAGATTTTTTGAGTGCGTTTTGTTCGTTTTGTTTACCTAAATTATATCTTTCTTTCACTTAATATAAATATATTCCTAAAGTAAGTAGATAGCATGCATTAAATATACAATCGCTTAGTTACCAATTACATACTTTTAAACTATTTTTTATGACTTGTTAACAATATTTAGAAATAAACTAAACACAGTAAAAACGTATATGTCAAATTTATTGATGTTTTTGTTAAAAGTTTGGTTAGAATTAAATGCCAGTGGAACCAAAATGACATCACACTGAACTAGCGCATTACGAGATTTTTCTACAAAAGCTGAGAGTTGTTTGGAACATAACATTTCTAATATAAATAAACTCTTTGTAGAAAGTTAATTTTCGATATAGTGTTGTATAGTAAAGATAAATTGTAATTAATAAATTAGAATTGTGAGTTATAATAGTGCCTAAGTTTTAAATAAATTATAAATAAACTATTTTTAAATCAAGCAATCGTTCCAACAGTATTCCTTAAGTAATTCATGTTTTTTATAAACTATATTATTATTATTACTTGCACGTTGAAAAGTAAGTTCTAGTATTTAAAAATTAGGAATATCAGTAAATGAATTAAGGTGCATTTTCATTTATTGCCTTAATTAAAACATTTTTGATTGTATTAAATACTAGATGTTTTGAGTAATACAGGGTGACATAGAAATAGATAAATAGTACTTAATACAAAAATATAATCGTTCTCTACATAGGTTTTAAGGGTTCCCACTAAATTATTATTCATTATAAAATAAAACTCACTTTTATCACATAAAATAAAATTGAATTGAAAACTGTAACCGTGGACTGTAGTGATAATTGAAAAAAATATTTTTTCTTACACATTTTTTTCCATAGCTCTCAAATTCACACACACAAATTACACATTTTTTAAACATATAGTCAAACTGATTACCAAATAACAAAAGATTGTCAAGATATTTTATTGTCGTTACAATTTCCATTTTTTCATCTTTTATTTTAAAATTATTTCATTAATATTTAGACAATTGTACTGGTACTTCGTCGTTATCATGGCTTTGGTTTTTAGCGTATTTAACTCGAATTTATTAAATCTCAAGCATTTATTTATTGCAGAAAGAGCAGAATTAATTTTTTTATAACATTACATAATTATTCATCAAAAAAGCTAATAAAGTATCGCCTGCGAATATATTAAGAAAAGCAACGTCTGTACAAAGATTCAAGTCATTTAAATACAGAATGAACAGGAGTGAGCCTAACACACTACCCTGGGGGGATGGGACGTTTTGCCGTCGCCGTTTCGCCATCGCCGTTTCGCCCTCGAGCCAGTTCGCCGTCGCTGTTTCGCCGTCGGACCAGTTCGCCGGCGGCCATTTCTCTATTGATCTTTTCGACATCATGTCATTGAAAATTACTGTCATGTTCAGTTTGAAAAAGAGCTTTAGTCAATATTATTTACTAATCAAAAAATTCCATATCTGTTTAATTTCTTATTTTTTTGTGATAAATCTGATGTTTTAATAATACTTTTCTTTTGGATAGGTATCTTAGATTTTTATAAATCTTAACTATTTTAAAGAAGTATTACATGAAAAAAATTAACTGGTATAAGACCGAATTACCTTGTTTTGGCATTTACTGTTTACCTGGAAAGAAAGCATTATAGGAACATAGCAGCCGGAAATGGGATTACTCACTTCTTTTAATCACTTCTTAAACCTAAACTAAATATAAATTGTATTGCTCGTAATATATTGGTTTTGTATAAACCAAGAAATTTTTTGAATATCTATTATCTTGTGATTCTTTGGTGTAAGTACATGTGTCGATATACCGCTTCTTTCGCAAAAGTGTGTGTAAGAAACAATTGAATAATTTCCCTTAAAACAATAAAACAACCTATTTTTAAATCCCAAATGGAAATTTTATTGTTTATTGTTATGTTAGATATGTTTATCTAATTTGCCAAATAACTACTGTAATACAACTGACTGTCTCGAACAATTCAAAAAGACATCACACCACCGTTGAAAAACCGGTCGATAACAACGAACGCCTTTTCTAGGAATTAGAACACCATGGGCGTGCGGAATTTCTTTTACATGTGTCAGTATAAACCAATAAATTTTATCTAAAAGAGGAAATGCAAAGGTATCTTTGATAATTTTAGCAAAAAAAGATAACGTCAAAGTTTTGAGATGTGAAAAAAAGGGGGAATGTGTAATGCATACTAGAAATGGCGAAACGATAAAAAAAGTGAACATACCACTCATGGAGCTTTGGCAGCAGATTAAGAAGCTGCGCAAGAAGTAACAGCCGTTAAAAGACGCGCTGAAGTGGCAGTGAAGGAACAATTCAGATAATTAATAATTTATTGAACATATACAGAATTTCCAACATATTCCATTTTTAAAATTTTGTTTTTATTATTCCTTAATTAAAAGTTATTAAAGAAAATTTGGGTAATCTTATTCAGGCTGCACAAGCCCGACTGCCAAATATTTGCGTACTGAGAAAAACTATCAGACGAAAAAGCTACGAGATTCAAGCTGCACCGGTCAAAACAGAATTTACATTTTTGGAAGAGACATCTGTCTTCAGCATTTTTAGACTTTGCCAACATGGATTTCAATCAAAATATACACAAAAAACCTACGGAGCTTAAGTAGAAGCTTTATAAATTCAATCCGGTGGCCCCAAAAAGCAGAAAATTCTGAAAACAAAAAAAATTGATATTCGCACCACAAATTTATCAGCAAATTATTGCACACACTTAATAGCACTCGATTACATAACAAAACACTCAAAATATGACGAAACGGTCGTCGGCGGTCGTCGGAGAAACGGCCGCCGACGAACTGGCTTGACGGCGAAACGGCGATGGCGAAACGGCGACGGCAAAATGGCACCGGCGAAACGTCCTAGACCCCTACCCTGGGGTACACCCATACATGGATATTTATTACATTTGAGATGATATCACAGACTTTGACTTTTTGTTTTCTATCCATTAGTCAGTGAGATAACCATTTATACACTTCACCCTCAATACCATACCTCTCTTAATTCTTTTAAAAGAATATCTCGATCCATAATTTCGAAAGCCCTTTTTAAATAAGAACACAGCTACTATATGTTTAATAGGGCATACTGCAATTGCGCGCAGCGGTCAGGGTTCTCAACAGGGTGTCCTAAGCCCATAGTGCAATTGCGCGCAAGCCTTTAAAAAGGTATACTGTGATTGCGCGCAAAGCTGAAAACTATAGTAAACGGATGTTTTTATTTACTTCAACAGAAAATTTATTAATTTTTAATAATTAAGATAATAGAAAGTGGGTACTTCCTACACTGAAAGAGTTATACTAAAAAAACTAAATATTGTTTATTTTAATTTATATTTATTGTATTAAAAATGTACATATATTTAATTTGAACATGCCTTATAACATATAGCTTTTACAAATTCTATTCTAGATATTTCCTTACTTTTAAATTTACCTATCAAATTTGTTACATATTTTAATTTTCTTTCATAATTAATATTTTTAATATTTTTTTGTAAATGTAAGCTATTTAATTGCACATAAGTTCCTACTTGAACATTTTTTAACTCATTTAAAAATACAAAAATATTAGGATGCGGAGAATAAAATCTTTTATTAAAATGGCTATGAAAAGATTCACAGGCGTTGGTTGTCCGTTCTCGGCTTGGGCTACATGAAGCCCACATTTCTGGAGGAAATCTCGCAGATTCAGAAATGTAATTATCCGTTAAATAATCGCAGTAGGACGTTATACGGGTATCGTTGGGAGCTTCAGCAATCAATTCTTCAACGAAGCATTCCGAAACATCAGCACTGTCTAAATATATGAGACTGAAAGACCAGCGTAACCATTTCCTTGTCGGAATATTCTCTTTTGTATTTATACATGTCATTACGAAAATAGATATTGGAATAGTGTAATTCTAAGAATTTGTTTATCTACCCTAATGTTTGCGAGAATATACCCATCAAAAACAAATTTATGAATATCCATATTCAAAAGCTCATTACGAAAATGATTGAAGATAATTTTCTTAATCCTTTCGTTGCGCGCAATCACAGTACCCGTCTTTAGGTAAATTTCAGAACCCGAGGAGGTATTTGACCGCCGCGCGCAATCACAATATACCGGTTTAATAGCATCTACTTCCTTTTTGAATTTACATAACGCAAACTAAAGTACTGGATCTTTTTTTCGAGAATTTCTTCGTGGATTATTAACTTTCCAGAGTTGGAAATCAATGGGGATTAAGTTTTTTGTAAAGCTTGTGCCAAAATAGTGGTTTGCGAAAAAAAGTTCAAAGTGGTTCAACACGTGAAAACATCATTGCATAAAGCAAAATTGCAAAAAATGAAATCACAACCGGTTCAACAATGCGTTGTGAGGTCATTTCAAAACGCCGACAAAACAAAAAGTGACAAGGAGGTATTTAATCAGGATTTCTGCAAAGCTCTTGTTGCCACATATATTCCATTAAAAAAGTTACAAAACCTACATCTAAGAGAATTTTTACAAAAATATTTCAATCAAACCATTCCTGGCGAATTTAAACTTTAAAAAATGATAGCAATTTTTACATCATTGTTGATGAAAACACAGATGCTTGTGGAAGATATATGGTACATCTTATGATTGGAGCCTTAAAAGAAAATTAACCAGGTACATCATATTTAATAGCATCAAAACAATTAGAAAAAAGTAACAATACAACTGTTACCCGATTTATTCAACAATCTTAACAACAATTTTAAGTATTTTCAACAAATATGCATTTGCATATTTAGGCATAATTGGACAAAATAGCTGCATATTTTTGGTAGAAACGATGTATATATATGCGCATATGTTGGTAATATTTTGATGCATATATTCCGCCCTCTAGTTATAAGGTAATAATAGGTTTAAACTCATTAGCCTTTACGGTATTGCTAACTTTAGGTATGGAAACCACAATACTAATTTTTAATCTAGGACCTTGCGCGTCCTCAGTGAGGTATTCACAAAGTTTAATATTACATGACCACAAACTTCAAAAATTTAGTATTTCATATTATGTACTACTTTTATTGTCTAAAGAATTAATAATTGCTCGCAGATAGGTCCTCCAAGGATAATGTCCTAAACTTTGAAAAAATAGGATATAAGTTATAGTTGCAAAATTTCCACTATTTATTACTTACAATTCTTCCAACAATATGTTTTATACTATTTATAAAATAATTATTTTGTTGACAATCGTTTTCGTTTATTTTCAAATTTGGAACATTAAGAAAATTTTGATTTTTATTATATATCAGATTTTTTAACGTTTTCCACATAAATTTAGAATTATTGTGATATCTATAGATTTAATCAAAGTAATAATTTCTTTTTTTTTTTTTTTAATTTTCCCATTTTAAATTATTATTTGCACCCCTTGTTGATATAAATTCCATGTACATCCTTCACGTACATAACGTACATGACCTCACTTTTCTAATAAATTAATCAAATATGATTGGTCATTGGTCAGTTTACATACTAACCGACTAGTTGGTTATTATGCATTGCAACGAATACCTTATCCAATTATTGTAGATAGTTTGTAAATTAGCCACAAACACCAGTTAATTTGAATACTTCTCTATTGGTTTCTACTTTGGCGATAAATATTATACAGATTGTAAACTCAACTAGTTTAATATAATATACAAACCAACCAATATGCTTAGCTATTTTAGCAGAAATATGATTTTCCATAAAAATAGCCAGACATTTGGATAGTTAGTATACTATCCATTTAGTCTATAAACTAGCCAACTAAACACTAACCGTAACTTATATTTAAAAATATTAATTATGCACTCCTTACTTTTGACTCCTTCTGACATCTCACCCTGTAGAGCTTGCATACATGGGGTCCATAAGAAAATTGCCTTCCATAATCTGAAAAATAACATTTAAATTTGAATTAATTCTGGCTACCTAAAAACAATTATGTAGGTTGTCACTATTTTTGACTGACAACACTCTACCCCAGATAGCTCTCGTTAATTTATTATATAAGAACATGAACCCTTAACGGGCTTACTTAACCCAGATAGCACACTACATTATAAAGACGTCCACTTCATGTCTTACTTTGGTCCAAGCGTCCTGGTACGTAAAACGGACGGTTTTAAGACGGCCCTGCTCACGACATGTTTAAAACACTTGCCATACTAAAGTAGCAATTACAGAATATTTCGCCGCCTATAGACCGGAAAATCCTACTCCAAAACGGCACCATCCGGGGCTATATTCAAGTAGGTTTTCTGCATGAATAATGCATTAGTCTAGTTGGTCACTGCCTGGGGGACGTATTGAAGTAGCTTTTCTATTTACGCGCCCTGGTTCGCTACTGAAATTTATGCTTAAGGCTTGCGTCTGACACACAAGGAATCGCATTTCGTGCAAGAAAAAGATGGGTATAACTTTCCGCAATGAAGGTGTCCCGGGACGTGGCGGTCCCCGGCAGTGAGTAAAGGAACTTAAAAATATCTGACCATCGACGAATAGTTTTCTGCTTTCAAGCTTTCAACCGTTAAGAAATTTACATAAGCAGACCCGGAATTAGTATCGTTTTAGGAAGAAATTTGAAAAGTTTATTTCTAGTTTATAAATTACCTTTCTTGTCATAAAAAGTTTAAATTATAGTATGCTAAAATACAAATAAACCATTTTAACTTTTTTAGCAAAAATCAAAAAATCTAAACAAGCGCGCAAAGAAGAGAAACTTTGGAATGCACCAACTTATATAAATCAAATTGTGTATGTATATGCATATAACATATGAAAATAAGAGGTCAATTTTTATTTAGATAATTTTACTAAGTTTATGTTTTGTAAGAGGTAAAAGCTAACTATTTTGGAATCAATGATACCAGGTAGAAAAAACTATTGGAATTCCATGCAAAAAACCGTCAATGGACTCGAATAGTTTTACATAATATACCTACATACATAAAATTCAAAAACTATAAGCAGTGCCACAACAAATACCATAAAATATACCTCCCATATCCCTTTCTTACTTGATTGATATCTCTGTTTCCGTATAGGGGTATACGATTTGTCATATAAAACAAGAAAAAAGGCAAATGATCTGAACTCACTACCATCGAGGTGCTTAAATTTGTTTTCTTTAATACTCGTAATTAAATTGACTTTATATAGTTTTATTAAAATTAACGAAATATTTATAAAATTATAGACCAAACAAAAATAGAAATGCTATTATTATTTTTTATCGAGTCTACACAAGAATAACTCATTTTAATGTATATTTAATCTCAATAACTAAACATTTTTTTACTGACAATTAGTTTAACAGAAATGTGACTTATTTAAAATTTTATAAATAATAGTAGTTGGTTGATCAAAATAGGAACTGTGATTGGTGGATTTTATTTTTGTATTGTTCTTACTACCTAGAATGGATATGAAATATATTTGTTTAACTAAACGCAATACCATTCTTTTTTCGTTTTGTACTCTATGCGTAGATAATCTAATATCCTTGTGAGTATAGAAAAAAATTATTTTCGTTTCCTAGAAGTTTTGCAATTTCATGTTTTCTTTCGCTATTATACTAACTTTCTT